TTTCAAATTACTGGAGAAGATTTTATACCTTTCTCAAATGACAAGCAAGGCATATCTTAAAAAAATAAGAATTTGGTCGAAGAAATTTATCGAAAACGAATTGAACGAGAAAGAACATTTGTAATAAGAAATATCACACAAACAACTTTGAACAATTAGCTTCTTCGAAGCTGACAAATTTGATACAATTTGTCTCAAAATCGGTGACTCCGAAGAAACGTCGATAAATAATGGGGTTATTCAATAATCCATTATTAAGTAAATATTGGTTGATTTTTAAACAATTAGAAATCAATTGTTTTAAATTTTGCCAGAATTATGGCAATCTTAACTTTATCGAATATTTGAAAATGAATTAAACGAGAAAACTTTGAACAATAAAAATTTATTTTAAATTAGTTAATATTTACAGATTTATTAGTATTTCGAAACTAATATGCTAAATATTTTTTGTTATATTCTTCTAAATCAGTCCAGCTCCACAAATATTTAACATTATATTTTTTTATATATTCATTAACTTCTAATAAATATTTATCAATTATTTCAACATTTTTTTTATTTACATCTTCTAATAGATCTAATGTATCGTTAATATAATTAAAATAGAAACCGTCACCCCAACCATAAAATGTTGATCTTATATGAAATTCGATCCAGGACAAAATATTATTTAGCCTTTTGTGTTTAGTGTCGTTGTAAATTTTCAGTGAAGGGTTAATTAAATTATGTTCAACAAGATAGTTTCTGAATTCTTCGTATCTTGTAAATATAATATATTCTGTTGTTTTAATTTCTTCAATAAATTGTTTTTCTTGTTCAGTTGGTGAGAAGAAGATTTGAAAAAAGTCTTCTTTATCAACAATTGAACCAGACGACCGATTTTTATCATCTTGAATATAGTCTTCCCAAGTTAAATTGATAGTTTGTTTTTGTTTTTTTAAATTAGTTTTAATTTTTTTAATAAAGTTTTTAACAAAATTCATTTTGTGAATTATTAAAGTTTGTAGATTTTAATTTGATAGATTTTAATCTGATGAATTTGTAAATTTGTAAAGTCTTTATATAGATAAAAAACTATAAAAGAACACGATAATAAAAATTAATAACTTTTAAAAATAGAAACCTGTTTTTTAAATGTTTGTCATTTGATTAAAAACACTGAATATAACTTCTTGTTCACAAAAATTAAAGATACACATACGAGGATAAGAATTTTAATTTATAAAAAGGATAAAGATGCACCAATCACTAAAGATAAGGGTTACTCATTTGTGATAACTTCACAAGAAAAAACAAATTACGAAGCAACTAGTTTTATTGTTTTATCACCACAAATTTTGGGAATAAAGATTTTTCACGAACAAAAACTTGTTTATGAAAATAATAGTATAAATTTTTTTATTAAAGAATCAATTAAAGATACTATTCATACTCAAGTTACAATTACACCCGATTAGATTTTTTATATTTAAAAGGAGTTAAAAAATAATATTTCTTATTTCAGAAAAATTAAAATGAAAATTTTAGCGTGATTAAATGTTTATTTAGTTATCTGATATAATAAATAAAATTTTAGAATTTTTTATATAAACCAATCAAATTTAAGATAAACAAAAAACTATAAAAGATACTATGATCAAAATATTTTACGTATTTTTTTTTTAATGATCAAATATTTTACGTAAATTTTGAATGAACCAATCAAGTTAATATTTTCGGCTCACAACACTCCTTAAATTTTCAAATCCGAATTACAAAAATGGTAATCATTAAATTCTGGAATTTTTAATTACTGATAAACTTTAAAAAGAAATATGAAAATTTTAATGAACCAATCGAATTTATTTTCATTTTTTATAAAGGGAGAATAATTTACTGCTGACCAAAAACTTTAAACAAAATGCCTAAAGAAAACAAAAATCACAAATTTATCGCTGAAAACCCTTATTCATTATCTTCTAAAAATAAAAACTAACAGTTAATTAGTTTCGATTTTTACGAAGAAGAAAAATGTCTTTATAAACAAGAACGAAAAGAACTTGAACAGAAGATTGAAGAGATCAATGAAGCATCTCTTCAAAATATCAATCGATTACAAGAAGTTATCAACGAACAAAATAACTTACTCGACAAATTATTTGAAGAATTTAATTGGATCGAGAATTTCTACGGCCCAAGTTTTCAGTACGCGAAATGGGCTTATCAGAATCAACTGCAGGTTGATTCATTCGATTCATTTGAAGAATATCAGAAAGAAGACGAAGTTATTGATGATGAAGAGATTTATTTAGATAATAAAGTTCCAGTTAACTTTATTGAAACTGATGTTAACGAAGATATTAATTATTCTGAATATTTGTATTTGTCTGATGATGATCCTTTAAACGATGATGATTAAATTGTAATTTTCTAAAATAGTATTTCAAACCAATTTTGTATTACCATTCTATAAATAACTTTAATAATTGAAATAAAACTATAAAAGAGTCAAATGTTGCCGTCGGCGATTTTAAAGAAAAAATCAATGGGTCGCGATCAAAGATTTTTACATATCATGTCTACTGTATACTATTGTGTTCCTTGCTTGATACGTTTCAAATGCAAGAAAAACATAACCGAAAAAGAAAAATTTGAACGCAAAGGAGAATATTTTAAAACTGGTGTTGTTCCAACATGTGACAAATGCAATAAACAATATTGGCGATGTAAACTAACATCCTGTGATCAATGTTGTAAACTTAACGAATGCAACGAGATTACATGTTCTTATTGCAAAGAATCTAAAATCAAATGTAGACGCGTCTTGCCAAAGACAAAAGAGGAATTCGCAGTATTGGAAAAACTTGGTCTGACATACGTCTCTGGACAGTACGAAGCTACCGATTTAGGAAAATTACACAAGCAATGCTATTTTCAATTCGATAAACGCCAAACTATAACTAGTGTAAAAAAAATGTTTAATCATAGTACAATGAATTTTCCAAATTTTTTGAATGGTGATTCAGACCAGAATCGCGATTATAGTCAAAAGAAATGGAATCGTTGCAAGGATCCTAAACATAAAAAAAAATATCATTGTGATTTCCAAAAAAAGAGAGAAAATTTGTGGCGTGTGCACCAAAGATTGTATCGAGAAAAGAACTTTAGCGCGTTGGAAAGCTTTGGAATTATCTAGTGACGAAAACGGATTTTGGGCTTTTGGAAACTATCGTTACTTAGCTCTTTCAAACGAATTAAAAGGTTCCGACGAAATTAATAAGAAAAGACTTGAAGACATAAAAAGAATTGATCATATTATAGAAAACAATTTAACTATAGAAGATATAATAAAAAACAAAAAAGACTTGTTGTCTTGTAGCTGGTTACGAAGTTTGAAAGATTTAGAATTTCTTCTCAAAAAAGAGAAGGAAATAAGAGAAGTAAATGTGAAAAGATTTTGGCGTTCTTGTTGTGTTTATATGTTTGGACCCAGTGGATCAGGCAAAAGCGGATTGGTGTAAAAATTATTCAGAGAAGAAATATATTAAAACCTCAAAAACAAAAGAGCGGATCAAATTGGTGGGATAATTATTCGGGACATGATATAGTTTTTTTTGACGAATGGTATACTTGTTTGTCATAGAACAATATCATTAAGTTATTGAATGATACAGATGAACGAGTAGAAATCAAAAATAAAGGCTTCGTTCCATTTCTAGCGAAATATATCTTTATGACATCCCGAAAAGCGCCTCAAGAGGCATTTAACTTTGAAAACGGAAATATCGTTGATAATACGACTGTTCATCGAGACTGGGGACAATTCGAATGTAGATTGGATTTTGTAATCCAATTCACCAGAAATTGAAAGGATCGAACGACACAAATCCACTTTCTTAAAGGGTCTGAAGAGGATTTTCGAAATATGAATTGGAAATCGAATTTGATAGAGGTGAATTTTCAAACAATCAAATAGTTGAAAAAATTAAAACATCAGGTTTTAAAGATGGAGAAATCATTTTCGATAATGAAAAAGTTTTATGGCATCAAAATTTTCCAGAATTTAAAAAAAAATATCTTCACGACTATCCAAATAGTAAACCTTTATATCAATATAAATTGGAACTCGAGAATTCCTGTGAAGTCTCTACTGAACCAGATAATTTAGTATACGATTCTCAATTAAGTGAATATAATTCAGACGATTCCAATTATACTAAAGAGAGAAAAATGAAAAACAAAACCAATGGCAAATGTAAAGCAGATCAATTAGAAAAAAATATTATTAAAAAAAATAAATTATAGATTTTATTTTGTAATAAATAAAATAAAAAATTACACTGAATAACTATTTAAATTTCCTGTAAATTGGTTATGAGCTAATTTAAAATCTATAGCTTGTTTCTTTGCTTGTTCGTTAGTTCTATTTTTATTAATATAAAACCTTTTAAATTTAAGTTTGTTATTTTCCCACCATTGAAATCTCCAACAATTTCGAGATTTAATAAAAGTTATTTCATTATATCCAGAAGTATTTGTATTATAAAGTTTACAATTTAAAGAATTTTCTTTTGGTGTTGTTTCTCGAAGATTGTATTCACAATTATCTAATCCACAACGATTAATATGGTCGATCATTTTCCACTCAGGATGAATTAATCGATGAATTAATTTTGTTCTTCTATTTTGATATGTTGAAATATAATATGTGTTTCTATGTTTCCTACAATTCCAGGTATATTTTTTCATTATACTATAATTTTTGATATCGAACAAAAAAGTGATTCCCGGTGTCTGTATTTCAATCTCGAAATAATCAATATTGTTAATTGATATTTTTCAAATTCGATTATAAAGTTTATTTTTATAATTACCAGAACCATGTTTTCCAAAAGTCCAAAATGTTTTTACTGTAAAAGTCGAGTGAATTTTCCTCCAAGGTGAATTTTGAGATTCAGTCTCCAAGAACAATTTTGTCGATTCGAACATTTTACTTTTTTTTTAAAATTAATTTATTTTAAAAATTATGGGATTTATCCTTAAGATTTAAATTTTAAATCCTTTTATAAAAATTACATGATTGAAAATTTATTTTTAAATATTTAAAATCAGTAATCTGTAATATATTTACATTTGTAACAGGAGTAAAACCAATATAATTCATCTTTAGATTTTCTAAACATTAATGCTGAACGGTTGCTACTATAGTTTCTGCTACTGTAGTTTCTGCTATTATTGCTGCCTGATTGATTTTGATTTATACAATTACATTTTTCAAAATATACGATACGACTCATGTAGTATAATTTTAAATATTTGAAACAACCAAAGTTAATAACAAGATCACTTATAATTTCATTATTTTTTATAGAACAAAGATTCAAGATAATTTTTTCCCAGAAATTCAAATATCTATCTTTAACAGTGTTTTTGAAAAAATCTCAATAGTTTTGATATTGTCGAGAATAACAACGTGAAATTTTCTGTAAATTCAAAAGAATTTTATAATCATTTGATTCGATTTTCCAATTTTTGGAATCTAATCGTGTTAAGAATTCTCTTTCAAAAAGGCTACTGAACTATTTGTTTATTCTACGAAGGTTATCATATTGTTTTTTGGGATGTTGATGAAATGTGATTTTAAAATAATGGTAATTTGCTTTGGTGATAATATCGATAATATCATTACACAAATATTTTATAATCATCAAAATTATTTCATTGGAGAAATTTATTTTTATAATGTTGAGAAATTCATTTTTAATGAAATGATCATTTATTTAAATAGTTTTTTTTATTAGAGAATGTCGAAGGAATTAAGAATACTTTATTAATTATTAAATCAGAAATTCTAATTTGGTTAAATTGATTTACATCAAATTTTCAAATCAAAATTTTTACCGATTTGGAACTATTCACAAAATATTCCAAATCGAAAATACTCCTTGAATTTGATTTGCTGGTAATGGTTTCAAAGTATTCAATATATTCCAACTTTTACCAAAAACTATTCACAAAGTATTCCAAATCAACGACTATGATTGGCCGAAACCAAAGTATTCGAACTCCTGCAAAAGATATTCGAACTTTTGCAAAAGATATTCCAAATCGAAAATACTCTCTGAATTTGATTCGCTAATAATGGTTTCAAAGTATTCTACCTTTTACCGAAAAATATTCACAAGTATTCCAAATCGAAAATACTTCTTAGATTTTGTATTACATTAAATAATTATTTAATTTCAATGATTTGTCGATAATGGTTTAAAATTATTTACTTAATTTTAATGTAAAAAATGAAAAAAATAAATTTACATCCGATTTGGAATTATTTTAATTCATGTTCCGATAATTATTTCAAATGTGAATATTGTAAACGAAAATATAAAGATCCTTTATTAAATACTTTGAAAAAACATTTTATTACAAAACACAATGAAACTTGGAAACAAATACGATTATCAAATGTAATAAAAGC